ATTTATGTTGGCCCCCAAATCACATAATTCCTTCCCTACTTCCACATCTCCAATGGCAATAGGGATGCTGAAACTTCCTGAATCTTTCAATTTTGGTGGAAGCTTCTTCTGGATCAGGGCACTACATTCTGCTGTCAAAACCACTGTCTCACCATCCTACGATTTTCTTTTCTTAGACAGAAGATCCTTCATGAATTTGGCATAATGAGGCATGTTCTCTAGGGCTTCAGCAAATGGAATGTTAATCTGTAGCTTTTTGAAAATATCCAAAAACCTTGCATAGTGCTGCTTCTGGATTTCCTGCTTCAACCGTAGAGGATAAGGCACTTTTGCATATGGAGATAGGTTGATGGGCTGGTCCTGCTTGTCAGCCATCTTCTTCTTCTCCCACTTCATCAACTTTTGTGGTGAAGAATTTTTTTCAACTACTACCTCTTCTTCTTTCTTCTTTTCCTCAACTTCCTCTTCTTTATCATTTTCAACTAGAACATCTTCAACAACAACTTCCTCCTCACTTTTCTTTTCTCCCACTTTCTTCTCATCCACTTTCTTATTCACCGGTTGAAGCACAAGCCCACTTCTTGTAATGATGGACTTGCAGTGCTCCTTTGGATTCACCATAGTATCTCCAGGGAACTTACCCTGTGGCCTCTCAGTTATCTTCCTAGACAACTGACCAATCTGTGTCTCCAAATTCCAGATAGATGCTTCCTGGTTTCTGAATGCTGTCTTGGTCTCCTGCATGAAAGCAGAAGTCTCTTCCCTGAAAGAATTTGACCCCTGGATATAATCCTGAGTCGTCTTTGATAACTGGGCAAAAGCTTTCTCCCATGCAGCAGTATCACTTGACTGCGATGAATGTGTTGAAGGAGGATGTAGTGGAGGATTCAACTGATGGTTGGAACTATAACTGAACCCTGGGTGTTGATTCTTGTTCTTCCATGGTGGCACATAGACATTTCGCCCCTGGTTGTTGAAGTACCTCTGGTTGTTATGATCATACCATACTCCATTAACTTCTGCTTGTTCAGCAGATCTCCCACAATCACAATCATCAGTAACTTGGCTTTTCCCACAATTGGCACACACATAATTCGTGTCCACTGAAGCAACCTTCTGAGAAGAAAGCTGCTTGGTGAGAGCTTCTATTTGTTGTTGTTGTTGTCTCTGCACTTGTTGCATCTGGTCATTTTTGGCTAATAAAGCATCATAGCCATCCAATTTAATAATTCCCATTCTTCTGTCATTCACTGGAGCATTATCAAACTCCTGAGATGCTAAGGACTCAAAAATGTCAAGAGCTTCCTGAGGAGTCTTGGTTGTCAATGAACCACCAGCAGTGGCATTCACCAATGTCCTAGTAGTGGTTGTCAACCCCTGGAGGAAAATGGCTGCTTGATTCCACACTTATATCCCATGTTGTGGGCATTTCCTCAAGAGTGTCTTGAACCTCTCCCAGGCCTCATAGATAGACTCTAACTCTTTCTGCTTGAATCCTATGATCTCATCCTTCAACTTTGCCCTCTTGGATGCTGAAAAGAATCTTGCCAAGAACTTGGTCTGCAAGTCATCCCAAGTTGTAATGCTTCCTTGTGGTAGTGACTGTAGCCACCTCCTGGCATCATCCTTCAGTGAATGAGTAAAAAGTCTCAAAAGAATTGCATCTCTGGACACTCCATTAATTTTTACAGTGTCACTTAACAACAGAAAATTTTCAATATGCAGGTATGGATCCTCTGCACTTGTTCCAGCAAACTGTTCCTTCTGCACTAACTGTACTAATGCAGGCTTCAATTCGAAATTGTTGGGCTCCACTGTTGGTCTAACCACACTTCCAATGGGTGGAATGACAACAGGAGTCATGTAATCTCCCAGTGTCCTCTGTGGTGGTTGCACATGATTTTCTGCCATGATTTCTTCCTTACTGGTTCACCACTTGTTTCACCCCTTTCTTGTAGTTCCCTTCTTCTGGCTGCCGTCATGTTCCTTCTAATTGTCCTTTCTAATTCTGGGTCAAACAACAAAGAGTTTTGATCAACAGTACCTAACATGCACCAAAATTAAAATGGAACAAAAATTCATACAACAAAAATATAAAATACTGAAAATAAAAGATTCAATCTTGACAACTAATGGTGTCTGTCAATGTTGAAAAACAATTCCCCGACAACGGCGCCAAAAACTTGTTGTATGATTAGCAAGTGTACTAGTCAAACAAGTAATAAAATGATGAGTAAAGATCGTTCCCACGAGGAATTGGGTCAAGCACTGACTAACCAACTGTTGTTAAGTTGAATCAACCAAAAGATTATAAATTGCATTTGTTTCTTATCACCAGAAATTTAGTTTGCATAAAATTAAAGAATTGATAAACAGATAAAAATGTGAATATAATTTAAAACAAGTAGTCAGATGTCAATTTTCCTCGAGAATGAATTTATGGATGAACCAATTTCCACGATGAATATCTATTATGTGATGTTGATCAACCTTTTTCTTATCATCTCAAGATGTAATATCTTACTACCCTGATAGACACATTAATCAGAAACCCCAATATCTTGGTGATTCCTTTCTTAATACATGTATTAATTACTAAGGTCTTTAGATCACATCATAAATCCTAGTATCAATGTCTTGACTACTAGAACACTGATGATGAAGTTGTCAAAAATACAGAAATAATGTAAACATGTATGTTCTACACTATTCCATAACATGAAGAATTAATCAAGGCAACTTCATACAAATCACATAATGGATGAACAAGATATCTAATTAACCATTCATAAATTCAAACTTGAGTTCCATTGAATCAGACTACAAGGACTCTACTCAGAAATAATACAAATAATAACAAGAGAAGAAAGATCAAACTCCATCATCATGTAGTGAGTCTTCAATCTCCAAGTACAATTACATAAGAAACTAACTAATACAAAAACTAAGTCTTAAGGAATTTGGAAAGTAGAGAGAAGTCAGATCAAAGGATCTGATATAGGAGAGAGAGATAGAAAATCAGATATATGACAATTGTGAAGGCCCTTGCCTTATATAGTGTTACAAATTAAAACTGAAAACTATCATGGGCGCTAAAACCTTCATGAATGGCCGTTTTAGCGTCCATGTTTGACGGACGCCCAACTACATTTAACTAACTTGAACGCTAAAACGTGCACTGTTGAACATTTTAGCGTCCATGTCTGGTGAATGCTCAACTGCTTCCAACTGACTCCAATGCTTAGCGTTTGAGACCAGAGTCTTTTTGTCCTCAGATTGCAGCAGCGCACTAAAACGTTCTGTGTTGGACGTTTTAGCGTTCAGCACCAGCAAGTTTTGCCTTCAATTTGTAGCAGCGCGCTAAAACGTTATGTGTGGACGTTTTAGCGCTCAACACTTAGGCATTCTCCTGCCTCCATAATCTTCTTCTTTCTTTCTGCTGCTCCTTAGCTTCATTTCCCTACAAGACAGTGTAAATTTTCAACAGAGCTCTCACAACTTGTACTTGAGGGATTTCCAGGACATTAACCTCTTTTTCATCCAATTAATTACACAAATTGATACTAATTCATGCTGAAAAACCTGATGAACTTGGGGTTTATCATATATATTAAAATATTAAATGTGGATTAAAGGGAAGGGTTAGTGAAAATCCTGGAAATTAGGTCAAAATACAAAGAAAGGGCAAACGATAAGTAGCCAACACGCAACCCTAGGAAGATAAAAATTGAGTAGAAGGTCTCAGATGATAAAAATAACCCTGGAAATGGATTCACAACGAAAAATTGAGTGGCTAGGCAACTTTCAGAAAATTCAGTGAATAGTATTTTTACCGGGTAAAAATATCGTGGTACAGTTGCACCATAAAACGTGCCGAATGAATTTTGAGCTCTAGGTTTGAACATAAGCTATAAATGATACATATGACTAGGAAATATGATTTCTGGTGAAAATTGATGGAAATTAGTGTGTTTGGGAAAGCGTGCCCACGGCGCGCATGACAGCTTAAAACTGCGATTTCTCCGAACGACCGGAAAACTCCGGATTCATATGATCAAGGGAACTTAAAGGACAATGCTTAATGTTAAAAATTAGAGTTTCTAAATAGTTTATGAACTAGTGGAAGATTAGTGGTGAGTTTAAGTGAGGTGGCACTTGTGGGGCCCACCCCCACTTAAATGACTTATGAGCACATGTGAAAATCATATTTTTGGATCATCTTCCTCCTTCCTCCTTGCAAATTTCGTGGCCCTCCATTGTTGGTGAAAAAGAAAAGCTTGAAAACTTCAAACCAACATAACTTGAGTTCTAGGGCATGGATTTGAGTGATTCCAAAACCAAACTTGTGTAAAATCTTGAGAGGAACACATTGCTACCCTTATTTCGCATGGGGATCATTGTAGAGAGAAATCATTGGCCAAAAAGGTGACGGTTTTCATGAAGATTTTGATGTTTTTGGAGTTGATTGATCCTCCATTGCTTGAGTATTGTGTGGAGGAGTCCTAGGCCTTCATTGTGGGTAAGTTTCTACACTTTTAATTGGTTGATTGATGAGTTTAAATTTCATGAACCCTAATCTATGTTTTGTTGATTGGTGATGTTAGATTGCTCAAATGGAAAATGTTTGTACTTGAATGTGTCTTAGAATGATGTGTAGTAGTCATAAATGTAATAAAAATTATTGGTGAAAAATATGATTTTTTAACTTAGAAAAATTTGATGGTGTCATGACTTTGAGTTTGAGATTATTGTTAGGATTGTATAATGGGATTGTGGTATGATTGTATGATGATATAATAGGATTGTATGAGATGTGGAATAATGAAATTGGATTGAAAACCTCTTGGGAATTGCCTTGGTGCAATTCGGCCATTTAGGGAAAAGTGAGGGATTTATGTTGAAAAATTATTTGGATGATGTGTTGTGTAATTAAATGGTAATTAGATGGGTTGTGTGGTGGTTGGAGGGTTGGAGAACCAATGGAAAAATAGTTAAGGGTGTTGAGTGGTTCATTGGACCTAGAGCGAAATATTAGGCAAAACGACGTTTAAAAGACGTAAAATGAAAAGTGGCACTTGATATGGCATTTTGGTAACCTAAGGATGCCTAATAAAATGAGAAAGAAAAGTTAGAAAAATAAATTTTAAAATAAGCCTTCTAGGGTGGAACCTACATGGTGTAGGGGAGGTTTTTGACGTTTTTCGTTTTCTGATAGAATTGTCGTGTATTGATGGTTCTTACATGGTTGTTGTAGGTTACCGTACCTAGATTTGAACCCCGAACCGTGAGTTCGTTGGATTTCCCTTAGTCCTGGACCAAGTGGGATTGAGGTAAGTGATTGGAACCATGCTTGTGTAATTTATGACTTGCATGTGTTGTATGATTTTAAGTAATTGAGAATGTCCTCTGTGTAGGCATTTCTGCTATATAAAGAGCTCGGAAAATATTTTATTGGGAGCTAGTGTAGCGGACTAAATAGGTAACCTCTTGGTACTGGGGCTTGATCCCCTTGTGTGTTCCACCATGCCCGTTGAGTGTGATGGTAGGAAATGTATGTAAGTAATGTAGAATGACATGATCATGCATTTAGTATGTATGTTGGTACATAGGTACCGAGTCTCTGACCAGTAGACAGTTTGCCTTCGGGCGTTTCGGACTTCTACTGGATAGGTCTCCGAGAGGGAGTTCCAGTTGACCTAGGGTCGTGGTGTGTGATTCGGATAGAAGCACACTAGGAAGTCTCGGGTGTATATGGATGGGAGGGGTACCTTGGTTGGATGTTCTTGGAACACGCCTTGGATAAGACCCGTAGGCTTATATGCCGAGCCATTAAGTAGGACGTTGCATGGTATTGGTAGCTACATTCCAACTTCATCGTATTTTGTATCCCTATGTTCCCCATTTTCTCTAAATCCCTTGCTATATCCCGTTTTTCAAGATGTTATTTAATATTATTTATATGCATCGAAGTGAGCCATTGGGCGGAGTTTTCTCCGGAACCTCTTGGTTACTGAGATATATTCGTATACCTCACCCCGTCTTGGGGGCATTATTTCAGGAGGTAGCAATGGTGCAGGAGCGGCGGGAAGGAAGCCCGTAGGATGATTAGCCGTAGTATCATTAGTATTTTGCATTTTGATGGCCATTGGCCTAGGCTAGACTTAGGTCATGAACATGTATATGTTGATAAGATGAGAGTTATAGTCATATTTGTTCATGTTATTTTTGCTTAAGTTTAGTTGTATTTGTATTATGTCATTTGGAAGTTTCTTTACAATGTATTATTTAGAGATTTAAGTTGTAAGTGTAATATGTCATGTGTAGCCTTGTAAATTATGCATGAGTTGATGTAATTATGAAGTACTTGTAATATGATGGAAGGGCCTTAGGCCTATTTTAGGAATATGATTATGTGTATGATTAGCAAATGCATGCAATTGAACTTTGATGATTGGAACTTACTAACTATGGATAAAGGAAGTAAAGTGATAAGTATCATATAAGTAAAATAAATTGTGAAGGGTTGTAAGTGCCCCAAGGCATTGTTGGTCCTTGTGTGTGCCACCCAATGATTATTAGGTACATTTGAGGTCCTAGATAACATTAGCAAATTTGGAGATTTTTGTAAAAACAAAGGAAACTCTGACAAAATTTCTAGAAATTGGCATAATTTAGTCGAGCTTCGGGAGAGCATATCTCCCTCCATAGAGGTCCGATAGAGAGTGCAGACTGCCCATTTGCTCACTGCACATGTGGCAGTTCTGGACCGGTTTTGGGAAATTTATGCCCGCTTCGTTTCTTGGTCAAATTAGGTGTATGATATATCAAATTGAAACTTGAGGTGTCTAGTTTGTTCTATAAAAATTTGAGAGCAATTGGTTGAGTTAATTTTCTGCAGTAATTAGTGGAGT